ATTATTTCTCCTATGCAGTGTGTGGCCAGGCCCGGTCAGCGCTGCATCATCCCAGTGCCGGGGCGACGGGGAGCTCTGCGCCGATGCGACTGCACACTGGGCTTCAGCTGTCAGTATCGCCCTGACGATGGTCGATATCTCTGTGATGCCGACAGGATGATGTGAGTCCTCCCCGCCCGTCTAAACGTCACTCATTATACTGTTATCTCTGTCGTGGGCGTTTCACTATAGTGCGCCTCCAAGAGTTTACAACGCGTTGACCCATCACAGTGCGCGAAATCTGTCGACCGTTTCCAAACGTGAAGTGGGTCGACAGATTTTGCGCATTGTGATTGTTCAACGCGTTGCAAACTCTTGGAGGCGCACTAGGCCTACTGTGAAACGCCCGTAATGTGCATCTGGCATAGATTTCTTTCAAAGGATTTATTCCAGGTTAACTTTTCAGTTTTGCAGCTTGAGAGTAGAAAAGGAATTAATAACAATTTACTGACAAATTAGCATATGTGTACTCTAGCGAATTATCTAATTTTGTACTTGAATATACCTAAGTGTTTTTAATCTTGGTTTTGAAAACGAAACCGTTGAATTTGGACGTAATCGTAACATAGTTAGATGCCATCCAAATCGACACTTCACATTTAATAAAAACAGATTTTGGGAACGAAATCAAAATGACTTCTTAGCGTGAAAAAAAAAACGTCTGTGGTGTTGTCGATCAGAGGTAATCCGTGGAAGGTTTAGCACTCACGTGGGCGTCGCCCGTGTTCTTAAATTTAAGGCATGCGTGCAAGTTACAACACATAGCCTAGCTGGTCAGGGAAAAAAATGAAACGCCTGCGCACGACCTGCTGAGTGCAAGCACTATGCAATATCGCACCCCAGTAAACACTTGTAACTCTGGTTGCCGATCCAACTTGAAGTATAGGCCTACAATTTTATTGTGAGCAGGTCCAAGTAAGATTACCCTGCACGGTATATCCCAGAGGTTGATTACAAGTTACCCTGAAGCCAGCCTTCACGGTCGAACTGTGGGCACAGTACGACTGTGTTCAGAATATGCATGCATATCCGCAGCTCTCAGCGTCAATTTAGACAGGGCGAAGCCGTAAAAAGTGACATCTCTCCGACGCCAAAACTCATCTTTAGATATATACAAGTAAGAAGTCAAGCATTGCATGGTGAAAGGTACAAGAGATCTAGTCTTTCGGGTACGCCATGGAATCAATCTCTTTGGGAAGGTGTTCCTTTAAGAACTGCACCTCTTCCAAAAGAGATTGATTCCATGGTGTAGCTGCAAGCACATCTCATGGTTAAATGCACTAAATTCTAATCAAATAAACGCTTTCAATGTCTAAATAAACGCTGTGATTAAAATAACTTTGGTGAGTATTGCTCCTAACGTACGTGACTATACCGCCAACCATGCGTTCCTAGCAACAAGCATTCGATGAAAGTTACCCCCACGCCAAGTTTTCCTAGGTTGCACTTACTGCCGCAGGCAGAGCAATCACTCTGTCCCTAAAAAGAGTTTCCACTGCCACAGCTACGTCAGATGGGGAGCACGCGGAAGGCGTCTGCGTCTTGGGAAAAGCAAAGCGCCGTTTCGCTACAACCGTATCACAGCAATTACACTTTTTACACTAAATGTTCATGAATACCTAATGCAGGTTTCTTTAAATGAACATGAACTGTTTTTTTTGTCAGAGCTGCACGTAAAATTGTGTATCCCGTATCTGTCATATTTCTAATCATTTCCTTTTGGGCATTTGAAACTGGCCAAAACACGAACTTGTATTGTTACCAGCTCCATATAAATTTCAGATTTGACCTTCATTAATACATGTTGAAAATAAGTCTCTGTGATGTGCTGCACAGACACCCCTGGACAAGTAATCGTGATCCCTATAGAACCAGAATAATAAATTTTCATATCATCAAGCTGAGTAATACCAGAGAAGAAAGCTGCTGCAAAAGTTGGACCATGGAGTTCTTTTCAAAACTGGATTTGTTTACAGCCTGAGTTTTTGGACGTGGTGAAGACCCCCCCCCGCCCTCTATTTCTGGGCCTTATTTTTGAGAAGATGCACTTGCTATGTACATCTCGAATAAATCTCCAAGAATCAGTTCGCCACACAATTTTCAAATATGTACCTCTTCCGCAATGTGGTACAAGATTCCAATTTCTCCATTCACAGTCAATATTTCATTTTGTCTCTCTTTTCTCAGCAGCGACCCAGACATCCGGAAGATCTTCTTCTAGACACCTCATGTTGTAATGACACAAGCCCAACCGATGAACCTTTCTACCAGTTTTGTTTCAAGTTGACTCTGTGAGACACTACCCAAGTGCGCCCTGTGCCGGGAAAGAAGCTGTGAGGGTGACTCAATGGCAGACACCACACCACCCCGAAGATAGAGGCAGTGAAATCGGGGAATACGTGATTATTTGAAATTTGCGTGACATTTGTATTAAGAATATCAGATTTACCCACTCGTATACCAAACGGGACCAAGAGAGGGTGCTATTTTTTTCTAGCAACCAAGGCTTCTTGATGGGAACTGCACTTTGCTGGTTAGGGAACAACTACGAAATGCAAGCGTTGCGTTCACAATGCATCGCTTGCAACAAAATAAGCACTCCCCACCAATATGGCTCTTTTCAACCGATGAGGGGGTGCTGCTTAATTAATTAAGGCAGATAGTGGAGCTAGAATGGGCTCATTAGCTGTAGGACCTTTAAGAACTCCAAAAGTCAATTTAGCATTTTAATTATGGGCTTTAATAATCATGTTAAACATAATTACAGTGTAGTAATTATAGTAATCACATGTTGACCTTCTAGCGGCATTAAAGATTTCTGAAACTGGCATAATTTAATTGGTCAATGAAAAATCATTTATTTTAAGTGTCTTTGGATGGGGAACCTTTTCTGAATCTCCGTAGTAGCGTGCTCACGCTTCCTACCCCAGACAAGTCTACTTCATATCAGGCCTAGGCCTATATTTTGTTCAACGGCTGTCGATACTACGGTTCCAATTAATAATTTCCCTAAAGAAGGTCCTCTTAGGTACCCTTTTATGTTTTATCGATCACAGACAGAACAATTATATTTAATGGGGTGTTTTGAGTTTATTATTTTTGTTTTTGACAACTTCTTACAAACTTGCCGAATTGTATGATCTCATTGTCTATAAATGGACCTTTATCGAGTCAATAAATCTTCTTCATTTTAATTTAAATCGACACACTTGGTTAATTGCATTATAGTTTGCTTTTGGTAGTGTCTTTAAAACAACATTAGCCATTTTGACATAACAAACAGATAAAAATAGTTCTTAGTGATAAATATTAAGCCGTACGCTACACGAAGCCCGCCAACTGATACAATTGGTACAAACTTAGGTTATCTTACCTATTTGTGGTGAGCTTTCCATCTTCAAGAGCATTGTGCAGATCACTCAAATCTTGAATAAAGATACACATAATTCATAATAGTTGGTATTTTGTCCCCGAGCCCAATCCCTAAAGGACCCTGAGTGGGACACACCAGAGGGACTCCCCCCTTTGTCGATAACTTTTTTTTAAATTTATTAATTTGTTTTGCCAAGGAAAACCTTACCTCTTCACCACTGCCATCCCTTCCGAAGCCAAGTTACTAATTTTTTTTTTCGTCGCAACTGAGCTGCGAAGCCCACAGAGAGATCATGTTGGAGATTCCGTGGCGTATCCAGCGGGGAGGGAGGTAAGTCCCGCCCCGTCCAAAGATACGTTGCCCTTTTAGGTTTTGCTATTACTTTTAGAGAATGAAAAGGCCAGCATTTTAGGAATAGCAAAATCACTTTTGGGGATAATAGTGGGGATCCTTTCAAGAAACGGAAGGTGAGATTAGTAAAATTACTATTTTGCCCCTCAGATCGAAGACCCAGATACGCCGCTGCACCATGATTCCAAGGCCGTTATATAGATCAGTCGTGTCTTCATATGAACATAATTAATTAGCATAATTATTGTCATCAATAGGGTATCCAGGTTTGCTTGGAGTCGGGGAAATGTGTATTGCTTTCTGGAAACGATTCAGGTCAAGTTATGTGGCTTTTCTAAATCTACTTTTAGACCCTTGAAACAAACCTGGTTATGTAAGCTTTCTACGGTAGTGTAAAAACCCGTGAACGCAGCCAATCGCATGTACGCCTACCTTCTTGTGGGGGACTTCCGGCTTGTGAAACGTTCTAATTCCGGCGAACCGAAACAGCTTCCAGCGGTGGCGTTTCAGTTATTCGTCTTGTGAGCGCCCTCTCGCATATCAACAACACAACAACGTCTTGACCAAAACTCAGTGCTTCTACTTTCAAGGAAAATTCCTTATTTTAAGGAAATTTTTGCTTTCGAAGGAAGTTTTAAGGAAATGAAAAAATCTAAGGAAGTTTTGAGGAAATGCCCCGAATCTGAAGTAATTCTAAGGAAATTATTAAATTCTGAACAAATTCTACAAACATTCTCAAAATAAGCAGCAAAATTTACATTTCAAACTCTACAGTAATATTCTGCCAGTCTGATTTAGGATGACAGGAAACAAGACTAGTAGAATAAAACTTTCTGCGCATGCGCACAAGTTTGTCTGTTGTCATGCAGATCAATATCACCACACATGATCCACAAAGCCTGATGTTTTGGTTCAAGACCGCGAGTTTGAGCATTGTTCTGACCTCTGCTTATATCATCTAGCAAACAAACATGGTAGTTTTGGTAGTATATTAGGCTTTTTGGTGGTTAACTAAATAAAAAAATAAGAAAATCGGGAGGAAAATAAGGAAATTTGGCTCTGGGGATATGGAAATTTTCATTTTGACTGTGGAAGCACTGCCAAATAACTGCTTTTCAGTCTGCACGCATGCGCGTATAACCAGTGGAGCAAATCCAAGACCTAAACCTCCAAGGCAACAGATTTGGGATGCGCTCAAACGATTGGGCCGTCATATATCATTGAAATGGGGCATTAATACTGTCAACAGATCTGAATGGCCACACGCTTCTTTTTTCATATATATTTTATTACGCAACAGTGGACTTCTTGTACTTTCCCACGCAAAATGATTCTTGAAAGCAGACTATCGAAGCTTAAATCATACTTAAGTCCGACCTGCACATACATGTACATGTAGACCAAAGATCGTAGCGGTATTCGATCTTTGACATGGACTCATCAGCTTCAGAAGGCTCTTTTCAGAGTTACGATTATAGCCTTCATTCAAGTCGGAAGTCTCAGGCGTGTGTGTAATAATTATACCCGTTCCCGGCCGCATCAGCACAGTGAATGTGGAGTGAGCTCGCGAACGTAGCTTGCAGGACTTGCACGCACTTTCACTGGTACGATACCTCGGCAGGTAAGTTGACTTACATGTATATAAGTTATTTATGCCTTCCTACTCCCCCAGTTCACTGAATTTCGTGTACAGAGACAGTTTGAAGCAACAAGTAAAGACGAATACTTTGTGTTTCCACCGAGACGTACCGGTAGTATATGTACACAGTCATGTAACTCCATGGACACCTGCCATTTACGGTACGCGACGGTGTAAATGTACATAATGTAGAAGTGACAGTGAAGTTACGTAAGTTACACACATGCAGGGGGGCCTACGTGTACACGAACGTACAGTTCTTGTGGTTGTTTTACAAGGGTTAGAGCACGGACCCTCTGCTCAGTTGTGGTTAGATGTTACATTTAAGGAAATCACTCCTTTTCCTTTGCAGTGTTAAATAATAATATCAGCTTTCAGAAAGTGATAGCATACCCTTAAAGTTAACCCCAACAGGCCGGAAGCTATGCTTGAAGGTACTACTTAGTAGTAAAATGTAGTACTCAGCCCTGTCGCTTGTAAGAGGACATGACATTATTCTCTGAAGCCATAAAATACAATAGAGAAGACAATGTACCATACAATGCTGTGGCACTATGAATGCATGGTTTCATTGTTCTCTGTATGATCCGCGAGTAACAATGGAATAAACCTAGCCAGAACTAGTAATTTGTAGCGCTATAGTTCCTTCAGGCTCAGAGTGTTATGTAGTATTTTGTAGTAGTGAGTACTCTAAGCCAAACAATGCCCGGTACTGTAAGGGTTTAAAGTCAAATTAAGCAGCGATTTAAAGTCAAATTAAGCAGCGAAAATTATTGAAACATAACTAGATTTATGGAATTTCCATTATATGCTCCATCTATTTTTATTGTGTCTTATCTGGTTACACCAACACCCCTTTGTTCATGGATATCGCCAGCTGGACACACTTCATGCCCCCTCCCCATTTCCAAACTCTGGGACCTAACCCCAAACCGTATTACATGTAAGTGCATCACCGGTCAACCCCCCTGCTATTCCTCTCAAGTTTAAGAGGTCACCAGACATTCGCATTACAATACTAAGCATTCTGTGGCTCAAGTTCTAGTACATGATTGTAATATCTTTTGAGATAGATGGAGGTCAAAACCCTCAAACAATGGTTGATGCATTCAATTCCAAGTTTATGTCTCACTTTACAAGTATTAGGACATGTATAAATATATCATAGGCCTACTTAATGTACTCCACCAGATGAATAGCAAAGAGTTGTGTTTCACAGGTGTCACCCCACCTGGTACTCTGGGGTGCAAACAAGGCTCAGTTCTGGGGCCCAGCGAACTTTTTAACATTACTGATCTCCTTGCATTTGAATTTACTCTGTCATAAAGCTGAGGGTGTGTACCGTACATGCACACGTCTATGTTTACACATGTATGTATGTTAACACGTTATATGTTTTTGAGTTGAAGTGCACCCCCAAGCGGCAAAAGCAAGGCAGATGGAGTGAAGGTTTCCAAGTGGGTTCTTGCACACGTTCTGCATGTACGCCAAGACCCTACATTAAGGAATAAATTCATTACGTGTACAATGTAGTCAGCGTGCTCCGCATCAAACGCAACAGCGACACCATAAACTAGGGCCTATGCGATGAGTAATTAAAGCATGGGGGAATAAAACATAAGAAACAAGCTCTCTTTTGTTCCGCTCGGAGCGGATAGGAATGACATTATTGAACTCCAGAGTGATCTCTGTGTTCACCATCATTGATGGGTCTTAAAAAGACAATAGGTATGGTATTAATTATTATTAAAAAAGTGTGTCCTTGTGTACCAGTACAAGGAGGGCACAGGTGCGGTGTGACATGTACACTACATGCACATGTACCTCAGCCGATGAGCCAACTCAGTGGACCATCATGACTCACTGTGTCAACTCCAGTCTGGACCTCTGTACTAGTACATGTACAGGTACATGTATGTGCGCATTCAATTGGAAAAGTTTACTCACATGCACCATCATGGTAACACTGAAACCAATGTATTGTGTACTTGTCAGAGAAAATGTGGGATCATGGACAAGTCCTCCATTCTTAAGTCAACATGTAGGTCTACATGTATGTGTACGGTACAATACAGTACATGTACAATGTACATGTACATACGTACACACACCGCTACTTGGATCCCACATGTAAAATGAACCTACATGTACATGTAAAATGATAAACTTGGCAGCCAAATTTTATAGCTTGCAAATACATGTACAGATGTGTAAACACCTTGCTGGGCTAGCACAACTTGGTGGGCTGTCAGGCTAATTCTGTCCTGTCTAGATAATGTACGATACTTGCAGCCGTACATGTGCAACATGCAGATTGGAGAACTTTTCACTTAAAATTCAAGGAACCTTGTGCCTGAATCAACCAGGCCATGCTTCCCTTTGCATTCCTGCATCAGTGACTATGCTCCATTTTTCTACTTGTTGATTCTCACCAGACATTTTTTTTGATAAGTGTAAGCATACAGGTACACTGTACATGTACATGTATGTACATTTACCTGTTTACAGTACCAGCACTTAGCTGGAGGCTTTCAACTGAAATCACTGTCAGGCATCAAATTTTGGGTAAAGTTGCCTTTGATTTTTGAGTTGAAAGTTAATTTATACTGGCTGGTGAAATTTCTTAACCTCATTAAAAATGAAGAAATGCAATTTTGGGCATGCATGAGTCTGTTTTCATTACAAGGTACATGTACACTGTACATGTTCTTGTACAATGTACCAGGTTGGGTGTCATGGACCCATTCAGGCAGCTCCCACAGTGCGATAAAGAAGTCTCCTTTTTTTATTTTCTTCACCCAAATTTCCCATGGGTGCAGCTGTAGAAGCCTGCCTGTCTGTGTCTCGCTGAGTGGACACGTACATGTACAATGTACATGTACATTTACATGTATATCCCTCAATGTACCGGTACATGTAATATCCCCCCCATGACATGACTGACACTCAGATACGTTGTACCATTAAGCTATTGTACAACACTCAGTTTTATTCTGATATTTGCCCTCTGACATTTTTTAATAGCTGTGTTTTCCTTTCATATTACAGATGTACTTCAGCAGCAATCATGACAGAGTGTAACCGTTTGAAAGCAGCCCTCGTACTGGTTCTTCTTTCTTTCCATGGAATGACAGGTGAGTTTTCGCCCATTTATTGTTTATTTAGTTATTTCTTTTATTACAAATACAGTGTGCCACATACATGTACCTTGTGGCCTGATAGGCCAAATGCCGGTGACTGTTACAAGTTGTTACATGCTGTACAGACACACATGTACATGTAAATACTCACAAATTCGAGTTGAATATAAACGAAGTACATGTAAACTATACAATAAAACATAACAGTACAACAACCCATCAACAGTATTGCTGTTCGGCAAATAATTTACTCTAGAGTTATTTATCATGAGAGACCTGATTGATTTTTTCTCTCTCATACTGTTACTGCTGAGAGTGTTTCCATGTACATGTAGGACTTACATGTAGTCAACTTTTCATGTATACATCCTACTGGTACAGTACTACATGTACAGTGTATAACATTTTACATGTGCAGTGGATGTGATCTTTGGAAAAATCTTTAAGACCTATTTACCGGTTACCATCCATGTACCTGAGAGAGTTTGCTCATTCAAAGCTCACTCTGTGGGTGGTTTACAACAAAGGATACTGATTGCAAACACTTTTTCCATTTCTTATGAAATTGAAGGCTCCAGTTTTATTGACTTCAACTTTCACTCATTGTACTAGCACCCTATACACCTGTAACAATCTGTATCACTGTGTAAGTTGCACAATTAATTTGCTCTACGAACAAACTTTTGGAAATGTGTGAGTTAATTTTCCACTTTTTTCATTTTGTACATGCAGTGAAAGATACATGTATCACTGGGAATACAAGAATGGTTGTTGATTTGAAAGTACATGTACAAGTCATACACATGTTCTGAATCAGAGGCCTGGAGATGATACAGGTTCATTCATCTGACTGTGAAATTTGTCTTGCAATAACCCCGATGTCAAGTTTCCAGATGCCCCATTAAATTGTTGTGCTTTTCTTTCTAAAGTGTTGGGGCAGCATTCCTGCCAGCTGAAGTGCTCAAATGTGGGCACCTGCTTCTCATATGGGGGAGTTGTAGCTGACAGTGCACCGGTGGAGGAATGCCTGTGTCCAGAGAACTTTGCTGGTTTACTGTGTGAAGGTACGTGTACATGATCATTAATCCTGTAATTGACGTACTTTTTTTTATTTTTTGTTTATTTTTTTCTGATCATCCAACTGTGCTCTTAGCATCAATTACTGGATGGTAATGAGTAAGGAAGACAATGAAGACATGTTCAGTTTTAGAGGTGGGAGGAAAACCCTGGATGTATGTTTCGGGGGAAACCCACGGACTCGGGTAGGGACTGAAAACTCAATCCACATGTGGACCGAGCTGGATTCGAACCTAGGCCCCCAGAGGTGGAAGGCGTGGAAAGAAACACTGCGTCAACCTGACTCCATACACATGGGCCAGCATGCATGGAACCATGAACTAGGAACAGCACAACCTGATCTTCTTCTTGCGTATGACATCCCACACTGCTACGTCACATCAGGCAGCTTCCTCAGCCAAGCCACGGTCTCTTGAGTTGGGTTGGTAAGGTCAGGGGGGCCCCCAGGTCTCCTAATTAAGTTCCGTGCAACTGAGCAGGATGTGATCTAGGGTGTGCTCAAGGGAGCCACATGGGCAAGGTGCAAAAGGTCAGAGACCCCAGCGATGTACGTCCTTGTTGACGTCACAGAACCTGAAGCCTTAAGGCAAATTCCAGTCATCAGGAGCAAAACTTGGCTATCATCGGCACAGTGCTTCTTAAATTGTGGTTTTTCTGTGCATGATATGGTTGGTATTATTTCTTCTCCCAAATCTCCCTACCATTTAATTTCCTGGCAATTTAAAATCCTATCTGTAGATGCAAACAGTGACATTTGTTTGTTTGGTCATGACTTTCAGAACCAGCGTCATACATTTACTTGGAGTCGACTGCTTACGCTGTGCCGGAAGTTGAAGGGGAAATTGTCATTTCCGTAGTTCGGGATGGTGATGTGTACCGACGTTCAACAGTCCGTAAGTGAATAGAACTGTTTTTATTCATGGAGAGGGGCAGTGTCTCTCTTGGCATGGTGCAAGGCCCTTTGGATGAATCTGAGGAGACATCATTACTTTGGCAGCTAATATGCTACCGGTACGCCCAACTTGATGTGCCTGTGCGTATTGACATTTCACATGACTGACCAAAGAGGTATTGTCAGAAACACATTTAACTCATAAGTATAAAAGTGCCTCCAAAGGCTCTAGTGTACACTTTACCATACACCTTACATAAAGGCCTTTCACGTTTGGCAGTCTATACTGGAGGAAAATGTCCATGTGCATAAAATTCCGCATTTATTATTTTTTTACTTCCAAATCAGGAGTTGTACACTACACAGTTGGTACATGTACAATGCACTGCCAAGATTTGCTGTGAAAAAGCTGTTTTTAACTTGGTCAATTCCCTACATGTATGTTTGTTATACTGGTATATCCACTTTTAAAATTGCCGTACTGCATATTATACATGTACATGCAATAAGAAGCATTCATGTGAATATTCATGACCAATTTTCAACTGAATATGCACAAATCTGAGGCACTTGTGAAGGAAACATGTTACTGTGTGAAAAAAATAAATGCATAAAAGAACTGAATTGCAGTTAAGCTCATGTGTGGCACTCAGGTGTGCATTATTTACTGGGAGCACATCTCGCATCACGCATCCATAAATTTGAGTTTATGACCACACTTTGGCAAGTCCTAACACCCATTGATCAAATTGATCTCACCACTTGCATGAGAATGTGGTTCCTCCGCAGTAACAGTTTCTGTGTTTCAGTCTGTAGTTCCCTCAACCAAAATTCCTTACGCGACCATCATGTACAGATACTCTAGACTCTCAGTGATTGTCAGTGTCCGTCAATTTCTCGCCTTTCAGAATTACTGACTTACGCTTTAGACGCCATGTCCTACGTCGACTTTGCGAGTCATTTCGAGTTGATCATCTTTGAGCCCTTCTCCGAAGTCCAGAATGTGACGCTCCAGATCACTGACGATTCGACCGCTGAGAGCTTCGAGACATTTGGTGTCTCCCTCCATAATCCAACCAATGGGAGCTTGCAGTATCCCAGTGACAGTGCAGTGGTGTATATACTGGATGATGATGGTGAGCAGAAATATTTTGTTAAAGATACATGCGCCTTGACCAGACTTGAACCCCTAGCTCTTCTCACTTTCCCATCAGTGGATAAGTTTGCAACTCTGGACAAAACATTTTGTTGTGAATACAGCGGAACACGGTAAAACAGCATCCTTGGGATTTTAAAGGTTTCCTTATCATAATAGTTACATGTACATGATAATACCTTGTATTATCAGTAATGGAAGAACAAAGACTTGGGTCTTAAAATTGTCCGTGTTATAAATATGACCTTGTGTTAGCAGTGCTCTTTTTATCTGTGTTTAACTGGTAATCTGGTTTTGTGATATTGAGTACACCTGCACATGTACATGTATGTTCATGATGGAGGTTTGAATACCATTCATGACTAACCCTTACACTGTCTGATTTTTACATAGAAGATATTGCTTTGAAAACTCTTGTGCTGAAACAAAACTGAAATCATAAATGCATGTACTGTAATTGAGGACCAGGGGTGTTTAGATAAGAGTTTTAATATAATAGGACCTACATGTATGTCAGAGAGGGCACATTTTCCGAAATTTGGACCTCGTCAGGGATTTGGAGAGCACAAACATGTATGCAGTTGTGCATTTATAAATCATGCTCAGAGGAAAAATGTGAGCAGGGAATGGCAAATTGAGGCAGGGGAATGAGTTCATTCACAACCCTGACAACCCCCCCTCCCCACGCCTCTCCTGTGCATCACATGGTTGGCGTTAGGCTGACTGGTTTTCCTGAAGTGGCCCAAACCAGGATGAATCTGCAGTCAGTTATATTTTTCCGACATCTCAAAAGCGGTCCACATCATGGGCATGTGAAGACCTAAAATGAGCCGCAAAATTTATTACAAGTCATTTGTGAAGTAGGCCTATATTTATTCTTGTGCGACATTGGTTCACACAGGCCATGGTTCAGTAAGGTTAATGATTTGGACTTGTGCCACCGGAATAAAACGCAAACTTGTCCGTTCTAAGCCCTGTGACTCATCAGACTGGTTTTTATGTCCAGTTTCCTTGGCATGAATGGATATTTCTGTTCACTCTGGATGGAATGCCAGTCAATCACAGGTTGCTCCCCAGTCAATACAGTTGATACATGTAGGCCTACTACTGGGTGGAGAGAGGCAAGCAAGGGGTGTGTCTTGCCCAAGGCTACAACACGCAGCAAGCGGCTGCTAGCTGTTTTCAGCTCCGACCTTCTGATCCCATGAACCACTGGTTGACATACATCCCTCTGTGCCTCAGGAATATGTAACCAGTTCCAACACCAGTAAATGCTCAACCAAATAAAATCTCCTCTACTACATGTATGTTGGTGTTGTCGAGATTTGTTAGAGAGCAGAGGTAACAGTTGAGGGTGGATGTTTGAGCTGTCCTCGTCACAGTCTTCACGGTGAAAATGAGGCAAATGCTGAATAGCTTGTTAAAATCCTTTTCTCTCGACAGCAAGATCATTCCAGGTTTTCCCTCTTCAGTCGACGATCAGAGTGCCCGAGAACATCAGAGTCGTGGAAGTTGACCTGCTGAGATCGGGGAGGCCGAACAGGGTCATCAACATCAGTAAGTCGACAGTTTGTCATAGTCATTCAACAAACTCCTTGAAAGACTGATGACTGTGGTGTACATTGTAGATCTTTGATGTCCAAGGCTAATTTTGCTTCTTTCCTTGCATGGTTGTCAGCAAGCCTTTATGTACAAGCTTTTATATCCTGAGATGTTGCATGTGGATTACCACACATTGCTGAGTGTTGGAGCAAATTACAGAAGTAACGGCGTACCTCTGAAATGACAGACCTGTTTTGGTTTTAAAATTGAACAGAAGACACATGTATCTCTAAATCCATTGGTGGATCCCCCTTTCCCAGGCTCAACAAATCTTTCTGTTTTGGAAACCAATGACTGAAAGGCAATTGTATTTCTCTTCCTACAAAAAGCATATTATAAAAGCTATCTAATTATTTTCATATGTACACATGTACAATTATTAACAATGGACAAATTTGCGGTGACACCATGTGGATAAATTTCTCTTTTGTGAGTGTGTGTGGTTCTGAGAAGAACCGGGGTCATTTCTCTTTTGTGAGTGTGTGTGGTTCTGAAAAGAACCAGGGTTCTCAGTGAACCGGGGTTCTCAGTGTATATATCTCAAACAATGCTGCATTTTATCCAAAAGTATTTTATGATTTTCATTCAACTTCTCTCCCCAGAGCATAATCCAAAAGTTGCTGTAAACAGCCCCGTAAGTGGCATTTTCACGGGTATAATTTCCAAAAGGGTGTAACTGGTCCCCTGATGTTTTAACTGACGTTTGACCAGTGGACCAGCATTATGTTCGAACCCTGATTCACATGTAGATGTGGAGGAAAACTCTCACATCTCCTCTCCTAAATTGCAGCTGTGTCTCCTTTGAATGAGAGTAGCTACTACCGTCTCGCACCGAAGGGCGACTTTGCTTTCCTGACGGGAAGAATGCAGGTGTTTCAGTCTGATCAGTACCACCTGTCCATACTTGTTGAGATTCACGATGACCAGTTGCAACAGGGGACCAGGGAGTTTACCATCATGTACCGATTGAAACAAGATGGGCAGAATATCAACGGCTTTGTCAGCATTATCATTGATGATGATGATGTCGCTCGAGATTTAGACCAAAGTAAGAGATATTTGGTTGCTTTTGCATGTATTTTGAATATATGTACACGTACATGTAGCTGGTACTGGTGGGAGAATCAAGGAGACCATGAAGAGGACCCCATTTCCCCATTTTTTCAACTTGAGGATGATTCCCCCCCCCAACACACACAAGTGTGTATTTGCCTGCAACTGGGGACCCCCTATTGTTCCTCTTTTGTTTGTACTTTAACATTTGTAGAAGACCACCCATATGTTTTGTACGCATTTGTCAATCGGGGACCCTCTGTCAATCGGGGACCTTATTGTCCTCTATTGTTCAGGGTCCCCAATTGAATGCAGAAACAAACTCACACACACACACACCTTTTTCAGGTCCTGTTATGGCTGATACCAGATGTTCTCACAAATGCCCCCTTCCACTTTGAAAATCATCCCACTGCCAGTGATAGCTACAAATATGGCCCACTCTGTCTTTGACCTTTGTAATCAGAACTAGTAAAATGGCACAGGTTGACCAGCTCAGTTAAACTACTTAACTACTTTGTGCCGGGCCCATTCATACACGTTGATTCTGCAGTTGATTCCTTTTTTTTTCTGTTTTCAAAATTCATTAAAAATTCCTAACTTCATTTTAATACTGGATGTTTACTCCCACACGAATGACTCTCTGGTGAATACTCTAATCTGACAGACAACATTTACATGTATTGACCCCCGGGTATTTCAGCCAGGACTGCCGCCTTGTAAAAAGAGCCCAGATTGTGTAATGTTATGTAAGTTTCTTTTGTTCCCATAACCGGCACAGGGCACTGCGGGTGTCTTTTCCATAGGGGCCAGACTAGAGTGCAGCGGTATTGTATCGCTCATCACTGGAGTACTTTTGTCCCCGGTGGTAATCCGCTGATCACGCTGAATGCCACAATCAGTGTTCTTTCAAAACAATGACGGATTTCCTCTGCTATTGACAACTGAAAAAAATGTTGGCAATTCCCAGCAGCTCAGTCTTTTGTTCCGAGCACTGTCTTCTCTTACAAGGCAAAGCTCTTTTGCCTGGCTTCGGGCTCCCCAGCTTTGTGTATTAAGTCTATATCCCCAAAACCGGGTACTCTGGCACAAAGTGGTTAAACCCACCCAATATCACAGGGCTCGGAGAGTCTGGTTTCCTGACCTGACTAGCCTCTGGTACATTCTTATTTGATTGCAGGTCAGGCATGTCAGGTAGGCCCCCATTAACAACTGAATGTCTGTAATGATCCCATTTCTGAAATGGAATTGATAGTCATATTCCATATTTTCAGTTCTGAGTGGGCTTTTTGATTCACTCTGACAATTGGGGCTGCCATTTTTGCCATTTTTTACTAACTTTGCAATTTTTTAATTCATTTAATTTATTTATGTTACTGGCACATCCAAGCATCATGAATAGCGTAGATGACTCTTCAGATGGTTTTACAAAGCAAAAAATCCTTGATGTGTTTGTGACATTGGGCCAGCTGCTTGCAAGACCTGTTTTGAATTTCTGTCAGGTCAGGAAAAGCAGGGAAAAAAAGGGAATATTCTTCACTTTTTTTGGCAATTATTTCCAGGTCCTGCCACTCCAATACAGTCAACGTTACTGTTCTTTGGCCACCTACCATACATCACCAGTGAGGGAGACAGGCTACAGATTCCAATCTTCCGACTTGGTAACCTCAATTTGACGAGTCATATAGGTCAGTAAAATTCCTGTCGGGAATTCTTATTTTGATTGTGTGATTTATTTTCCCAACCAAGAAGGTAGATTTTATTTCTGGTTGGAGCTTTCAGTCCCGTCAACTTGACTGAAGGGACAAATCAGTTGAAGTCAAATACCTGCCTCTGAAGATGGCTAAAATAGAGTCCCCAGTCTAAGGTAAACTTCCAAAATCCAACATTTGAACCGACGTGTACTTGGACATGTAGTTATTTTGTTTGAGCTTTTTCAATTTTATCAGAACTGCAGTGTACAGAGAAAATACCAGCTATCCTTGTTTGCAAAATCCCCACCACCCTCATATTTCGTTTTTGATTTGCAATGCATCTGTTTCCTGTTCCTCAGATACGGTCTTTGTCATAACTTAGCATTCAAACCAAACATGTTTAATCACAAATTTTCAGTAATCATAGCTAATCAGTTGGGAGTCTTTTCTGCTCTGTAAACCTCCGTTAGCAAGATCATGTTAATGCAGTAGATATGCCGGCTGATAACCGGCTTGAAGAAATAAGTTTTTAAAGACAAAAATCCAAACTAAAATTGTAATGAAACATTTCCAGTTTAATTGTAAGGTTCCGACCACAACTGTGCATTGAGCCGCCAGTAAGCCATTATGATAATGAAAGGTCATTTATAAACAGGTCAGTGGAGGTCAAGTTAAACTACATGCACTTTATACATTTCTGTTTCCTATCTTACAGAGATCTATACTTTCAACGGAACAGCAGAGGGAGATGTCGATTTCTCTCAGACCCAAGAGATTATTGAGATGGAGCCATTTGTGACAAATGTGACGTCCATCGTCCCCATCATTGAGGATACATTACTGGAGACAGATGAAACCTTTTATGTCACCATGAGCATATTAGAAGGTGGCATTCTTGGACGACCCAGCGAGCAGACAGTAACAGCCATCATTAGAGCTGACCCACAGGGTAAAAATTTGGAATGGATCTACAGGGCACACTTAGGAATTAAAGACTGTGTTTCAAACTTACAAAGTTCCTTGTCAGATGTGATAGGGACATGAAAAAAAATTGATCCCCAAATTTATAGAATGATCCATTTGTTAATCTCTTTCCATGTTTAACCACTCTCTGCCGGGGATTCCGGATCCGGACACGTGTGCTTTATATGCGTGGCCGGGGTCTCCGAACTCGGACAAAGGGAACAGGGCCTTGGAACAAAAGACCGTACTGCTGCTGGGAATTACCGACATTTTTTCACTCTCAAAAGTGGAGATAATCCAGCCTTGTTTTGAAACAGTATACGGTTTGGGGCAATTAGAGTGAGCGGATTACCACCGGGGACAAAAGCGCTCCACCACCGCAGCAATGATCCACACAGCACTGCTGCACGCTAATCTGGCCCCTATTGAAAAGAGGTCAGCAGCACACTGAGCCAGGTTCGTGAACAAAAGACTATTACGTAACACCACAAAATCCGGGCTCTTTTTACAAGGCTGCAGGCCTGGCTGAAATACTCAGGCGTCAATAGATTTTGTCTATCAGGCTAGAGGGGCCACCAGACAGTCCTTCACGTGTTTGTAGTAAGTGTCCAGTAAATGAAGATAGGAATTGTTAAAGAATTTCGAACATAGAAAAAAATGCTAAATATCCCGGCCCAGCATCATCAACATTGATAACTGTCAGGCAGGAAGTGGTTAACCTTTCAGGTACATACATGTATAGTCCTCACTAGAAGCAGAGTCGTGAAATGAAATCAAGTTTTCCTTGAGTCATCGCTTAAGAATCGCATGCGACCATGATGTATACTGTAGGAATGGTTACACTGCATTTCAATCTAATAGCTGACAGGATCTCTCAAGAAAGAAATTTTCTGTGAGGATCGAAATGCCATACCCTGTGATTGTTTCAATTTTTCCTTCATAGACATTGCAGAACAGTATTAGTCCACCAAAGTTTGTAGTTTTAATGTTTCTGACTTTATGTCCATTACAAAGTGAGTCATGGGTGGGTTTTGTATCTGTTGAGAACAGAATAACTGAAAACAATCTTTTTTTCAGAGGGATGATGGTGATTTTGTTTGTTTTTTGGGTTGGAAGTGAAGGGGTCAGAATTGACGGTTGCTGTTTGCGGATTTTGTGTCATTGCTGACCTGAAGATTGGCTGATGGCACTTATACTGTGTCGGTGGCGGTCAAACCTTCAAAAGGAGCATGAGCCACCATAGCATCAGGGCTGCATTTGTACTTCCTTTCAAAGTCTTCTTTGCCTCATACCACGGTTGTAGACGTGGAAGAAGTCAGGAAATGATGAAGCTCATCTTTGTTGGTGCTAAGCTTGTCCTATTCTGTGCTTTTAGCCCAAGCAACGGTGCAACTTGTGGGGGCATCTTTCACCGGCCAGGAGAGCCAAGGTGTGATAAACATCAGGGTATCCAGGCAAGGGTCCCTGGATGATCAGGTCTCCGTAGGTAAGCCAGAACTCTGTAAAACAGATAGGTGTCTTGGTACCTGATACTGCAGATTCACACCCAGTTCAATGTCTTAATTTCGTTTTTCTGTCCTGAAGCCGCCGACATAAAATCTTTGCTGTTGAAGATGCACAATTTCAATAGAAATGGAAGTAAGAAAACAATGCTAGTGGTAAAAAAAGACTAATTTATTTGAAAATGCATTGAGTGACCACACAACCAAAGTAAGTTTTCATTGGAATTGGATCAGAGTCTGTGAAAATTGACTTTGGTTTAGTTTAAGTCTGTCATATCTTATCGGTCACCCATATGCCTCTTTTATATTGAGACATAGTCATCATACTCCCGCATATTTTTTTAACAAATATAGTGTACTTCCACATAATTTTAAGAGTAATCATGGTAGCTTATGTTTTGCATGTCTGTATTTTCCTGATATTTTAAATCTGGGGTGAAGTCTGTTTCTGTGAAATATGTGACCCGCTCTGTGAAAATGAGTCTTAAGTCGCCAGAGCCACATTGGAGTAAAAAGTCCTTTAGAATAATTTTGCACGCTGTAACTCAATAGGAACCCACAGCATTTTTCACCATGGAGTATCCACTTTCATCAGGATGCCAAATTGAGTTAAACATCATAACAAAAAACTCAATTTGCTCTTCCAATACAAATGAAAACTCAAAAAGTGGCTCTGGCAACTTAAGACTCATTTTCACAGAGTGGGTCAAAAATATAGGAAAAGCATTTCCCACTACCCGAGATTTCTTCGCAGATGTTTACGCAACCCAGGTCTAACCCTTTCTTGGTGGGATGTTGCTTTCCAGTGGTGTTCACAGTTGGAGACACTGCCCAATCTTCCGTAGACTTCATCGCCATGGAAACAGTCGTTATCTTCCCACCCCAGGCCACAGAGCAGACCTTCGAGATTGAGATCATCGATGATGACTTGGTTGAAGAGACGGAGTCCTTCCAGGTCCGCCTTGGTGCAGTCAGCCAAGGCATGCTGGGTAATCCAGAGCGAGCCGAGATAATGATTGTAGACGATGATGGAGCAGGTACTAATGAGTTAAATTTTTTTTTGGTTTGTGAGTGAGTGTTCTCAAAAGAACCAGTGGACCTCAATGGTTTGGAATGTATACCCTGTTTGTCTTTAGGTCAGAACACACTGTACTGTTGTGTGGCTCTTCAGGTCAGAACACACTGTCCTGTTGTGTGGCTCTTCAGGTCAGACAAACTGTCCTGTGTGGCTCTTCAGGTCAGAACACACTGTCCTGTCGCGTGGCTCTTCAGGTCAGAACACACTGTCCTGTTGTGTGGCTCTTCAGGTCAGAACACATTGTCCTGTTGTGTGGCTCTTCAGGTCAGAACACACTGTCCTGTTTTGAGGCTCTTCAGGTCAGAACACACTGTCCTGTTGTGTGGCTCTTCAGGTCAGACCACACTGTCCTGTTGTGTGACCCTTCAGGGTAGAGCATACTGTCCTGTTGTGTGGCTCGAGTCTTCATGTACCTCAACCATGTGCTCAATCTAGTGTCTTTAATATAGGTCTTCCCCATTAATTTAGCATTTCTTTCATTCAAAATTGCTTAAACGAAAGTTTTATTTCATCAAAGATGGGTAACTCACCTTAAATGTTAATTACAATTTCGAAACACCACCACACGATTTCACTTTCAGAGCATTGTAAATCACAAAAAAAAACCAAACTTATTGGTCTCACTTAACGTCGCTTTCGTCTTACTCCAGGAAAGATGTTGAATTGGAAAAGTGAATTTGTTTTTGTGTTATTCATTTTACTGATTTAATTATTCATTTTTGTCAGTGATATAATTTGTATGCAAAGCATCGGCCCTTAATTTAATTAACAAGAGAAAGTCTAATAACAGTGAGTTGGTGAGTTATGTAATTTATTATGCCTGATTTCTTCGACCTATTCTTTCTTAGTCCATTTTGAATCACAACAAAAATGACATCCAAACACCTGCTAATTCAAACAATACATTCTATGACGAAATTGAATGATTAAATCCGTGAAAGGGATGACGAAAAATGAATTTGATTTTCCGCTTCAGTGCCATTCCCGGAGTGAGATGAAAATGATGTTAAATGGGACCAAAAATTTCTTTTTGGTGGAAAAAAGTTAAGGTGAAATCTAGTGGTGTTATTTCGTAATTGGAATCAACATTTAGAGCGAGTGACCCCTTTTTCGTTAAATCTATTTTAAATGAAAGAAGTGCTAAATTAACCGAGAAACCCTATGATACCATGTATCCACTTGTCTTTCCTGCTTGGGGCCCTGACATTGGACAGATCGTAATGTCCTTTTCTGTATTTTTGGTGCGTTAGTGGAGTTCTTAAAACGGTGAATGAACTCAAAATTTTTGACTTGATGACGGAGTGTACTGTCTGAAATGCTGAGCCCAATTTTCTTTTTCAGAACCCCACCCTTTCACATAAAAAGAAACTTGGTTCTACCACAAACCTACATGTACATCTCAGGCAAACCTTCACATGTCATGTAGATTTTCATGTCAGGGTCATAGACATCTTCAAGAATGGTCAATCTGGGACATGTCAAACATGTTCATAGTCCATCAGTGAGTGCATGCTGGAGCAGAAAGGACATTATGGCAACTACTAATCATGGGTCTTCACTGGGCACTGTACTTTGCAATCTATCCTGACTTGAAACACCCCTGACCAACTGCAACAAGGTGACAGGCTAGGAGGAATTTCTTTTTTCACCTGGGCGCCAGGTGCATCCTATAAGATTTGCTGGTGCATGCTTAATGTATTCCGCACCAACACATACATAGGTCTGTGTCTACGAGTTCCCACCAAAGGACGGCCATTGCAATGTACGGTTCAAGCACACTCTCTTGTTTCGACATGGAACAGATCGTGTAATTGTTCTTACATGTAGGTCTGTAGTTCGCTCAGTCTAATATTTTTTTGTGTGTTATCCACAAGACTTCCCTGTCCCGCATGCAGTTCACAAAGCCCACATTGCATGAGGGTTACTCACTTAATAAGTGACTCGCTTTGCGGAAATGAGTCACATGTTTTTTAATACCAGGGCCACTTTTGAGTTACTGGCCTTTGAAAGAATCTTGCACAGTGTTTAAGCAATAGAAATCCTCAACTTTTTAAAATCCACACAACGTCCATTTCCATCGTACTAAAACTGAGTGACACATCAAAAGGAAGAGCTCAAATTCCTGAATCTGATACAAAGTGAAACTCAAAAGTGGCTCGGGGACTTGTGACTCGTTTTCGCAGAGCGGGTCACGTAAATGAAATGTAGGATATTATCCACAGGTCCTCACTAAAAATCAAGCAGCAAGTGATGCTGTACAAATGAATACCATCTTTTGTTCAGTTTTTACCACAGTCTCATCAACTAGTTACTTCAGCACAGTCATTCCACCCCAGCAGGATTTCATCCCATACATTATCATTGCCGTTGCCATCATTGCTGCCCTGATATTTGTTGCTGTGATTGTGGTCATTTGCTTCTTACGCCGTGGATCACGAGAGGGACCTTCACTGAAGGTGGATGAAATCCCTCTAGACAGTAAACTGTCGGTAAGAGATGAAATCACATTATTCAATTGGCAGTGGCCAAAGTGTGCCAGGTTGCTTTCAGTCTTCGAAGTTATGCAAGATTGAATTCAGTCATTAAATTGAATCATCAGTTAGTCTGTTACCAAGTCCAGTGTGTCATCAGTCACACATAAATTTCAGCCAGTCACTCAGGTAATGCACCCAGTGAACGAGCCAGTTGGTGAGCTGGTCAATCTATCATTTAGTCATACAGTCAGTCCACCGGTCCCTCCCTCATTCATTTATCCAGTCACTCCGTAACTTACTCACTTTGTGTCTCACCCTCTTTGTCACTCACATGTATCCTCATCAGTCAGGCATACAAGTTTAAACCAAATCAAACATCCCTCAATGAGAGGGTGATATGTTTGGAGCTCATACTCCTGAGTCCGGGAATATCTGCTTGCTTTGTTATCATTACCACCTCAGAGGTACTTGCTTGAAATTTTGAGCTCTTTAAATTTGAAATGATACTGAGGCTCATCAACGATCCTGTATACATTAATTGGAGCAAAAGAAGAACTGTAGGTTAAATGTACCCTCATTACCTTTTACTACAGAACGTTCGCTCCAACTCCTACCTCAATCGTGGCTCACCGGTCCCAGTCCAGCGAGGAGAGGCAGTCCCACAGAGAGACGTGAACCCACACACAAAAGAGTACCCCCGCGAGCAGTTGCGTTTCCACGAGGACATCGGTAGCGGTAACTTTGCTACTGTCTTCAGAGCAGAAGCAATGGGCATACACCGGCCTGGGGTGGTGTCAACAGTGGCAGTGAAGGTCCTCAAAGGTGATTTTAATTCAGGGATGATCCATTTTCTGTTCTTCTTTTTTCCACCATTGTCATGAGCAAAATATCTGGGCTTTTTCTTAAGCCTCCTTTCCCACGTCTGGATAGCTGAAACTATTTTCATTTTCCTTTCATATCTTTAAAAACTGCATCATGTTTCGTACAATTTTGTGAGAATGATTAAAAAACAAGTGGCCCCTTTCAGAGACAAAGTAACTTTTTATGTACACAGTGTCAGGTAACCAGACAGATGCAGATTATACATTGTGTACTTAGTGTAGCTATACTGATGTGGGTTGGGATCCAAGGATTCCCTCATACGCATTCTCTTGTTGAAATATTGGAGCGAGTGACAAATGGCCAAAATTAGTGTTTTTGAAAAAAGAAACAACTACTTCAGCTGTCCATCAGTGCTTTCATTTCCGATGAGCGCTGCTGAAGGCACAGCTTGGTCTATTCACCAGATGGTGACCGTAACACCTTCAAACCTTTTCCATTTTTCAGACATCAGCCCCCCAAGTAGTCCTCTTTTTACTCTTGTCACAAAAGATATCTGGTTAATTTGTGGAATGATATCCTCGACTATCCCCCAGCGTGTATTTTCCTGTGAGTGGATACCCCCTCTTGTTCCTCTTTTGCTCATACTTCAGCTTTTTTGGAAGACCTCTGATATGTTTTCGTACACAATTATCATTTGGGGACCCTCAGTGAAGATATACATGTAGGGAAGCCTATTGTCCTCTCGTTTTGAGGGTTCCCGTCTGAATGTAAAAACAAACCTTTCTCGAATGGTAAATTGTTTTGCGACCAGAGACAGCATCAGAAAGCGACAAGAGCGACTTCCTCAAGGAGCTTGCCCTCTTGAAGGCATTAGACCCACATCCCAATGTCATGACCCTGCTGGCATGCTGCACGACGATTGGTGAGTACCGATGACAGGCGATGAATGCCTTGTCTTGTGCTGTGTCTCATTACCCCCTGCTCTCTGACTAGCCGCGGACGTTGCTGCCTGTGGCTGTAGCTCTTCACCGTATGACCTGATGATACTTAAATAGAAGCCACAGCCACAAAAGACCCAATCCAGACATGGCTTACACTTCCACTGTAAAATAATGATCTTAAAAATGATCCTATAAAAAACCAAACACATGCATTGAATGTTCATGAATATCACAGGTCACTGTGGATTATGGCTGTGGCCAGTCCATTGTCCTCTTTCTATAGCCCCGAGTATAACCAAGAGAGGGGCAGGTTTCCTAGCAATGTACGCTACTTTGGTAGGAATTGAACTTCACTGGTTCACTATTAAACGACCATGAAATGCATGCATTGCGGTTGCGTTGCCACCAACAAAAATGTACACTCCCAACCCACATGGCTTTTCTTCAACCAGTGAGGAGGTGCTTCTATTCAAGTCAGATAACTGTGGTGCTGATTGTATCAATGAAAGTAATGAAGTAAACTTCAATAAGTGGCCTCTTGAGAAGCACATCCCTCTCTGTTTTTCCATAAGTTAGCATCTTTTTTTTTTCGTGGGTTCGAGTCCCTCCCGAGTATGCTTGTGAGGTTTTTTTTCGCAAGCTCTTGGACAAGCACTGAGCATACAGTGCTTATTAATCATACGTTGGGTAAGGGCAAAACCTGTTATATGATTTTTGTTTTCTGTTGGGGGCATGCCAAGGATCAAATAAAAGTTGTAATTATTTCTGTGCTGGGGGAAATGGGGTGCAGAGGAACTTCTCCCTCATGGATGAGTATAAGACAATGCTTAGTGAGCATGTTTCTCATGAACAGAGCACAGAATGCATACTATTCACTAATTAGGGCAGCAAGCAAACCACATTGGTGTTTGTGACGAGCAAATTCAAGGGCAATCGCACAACGACCACATGGTAACCCTTGGTTTGTTTTGCCTGGTACCCAGATTATCTGTTTACCAGGGAAAATCAACCGATGTTTGCCTATGATCGTCACTGAAATTTGTCCGCAGGCTGGCGTCCTCTATAAATCATACACATAGCCAATGGCTTACAGTTCCTTTTCAATTCCTTCCGCCATCCCCAGAACCCCTCTACATTATCCTGGACTTCATGCCGCACGGCAACCTGCAGGGTTACCTCCAGCGGATCCGGACGGGCAAAGAGAAGGACCACCCAGGCTACCTGGACGCCACCCAGCGAGTCCTCCAGCCGGAGGAGGTGCTGAAGTTTGCCTGTGAGATATGCAGGGGGATGGAATATCTGGCATCCAAGGAGGTACGTCAAGAGAAATTCCACAGAAAGTGGAAACTTATCATTCTGAGTGTTTTCATTTAGTGTTTGAAAACAATACACATGAAAGGTACAAGGTATTAATATAACTTTAATTTTTTGAGTGAATAGTTAGTTACTACGAATAACCAAAGATAACGAACTTGGTAATGAGGTGACGCATTGCCACTTTCGTACCAAAGAGCGTGAAAATCAGGTCTGTCTCAAGCTATTTAGTCAGATTACCAGGCTGGCATTGATCGTCAAGTGTCTTTGACATGAAACAACTGAGGACAGTCCCTGGATGGGATGCCTGCACAATAAGCAACAATTTAGGTTACTATCCTCCTCTGATGCTGACTAGTTACCCCAGTTACCCTCTGCATTGACTCAGTTTTGTGGAGACAGATGGGTGGGGGGGGGAACTTTCAGTTACTCAATACTTTGCATACGTATGCATCCTGCCAACAGTAAAGGTTTAGGTATGCCAAATACTAGCATACATGTATGTAGTGTACTATTGAATGTGCCCCGCCCAGTCATCCATCGCTTGCCAAGGACACACGTGGCAATCAGCAACTGGTGGATTCTAGCCCCAGGCCCTGAAGTCTGAAGTTAGGACCCTAAGTACCGCCAGGCCACAACACAGGAGGTGTGGGCTGTGAGCAGTTCTTTTAAATTCCACTGCTTGTTTCTGTTTTTTTTTAATGATTCTAACCTAAGACAAACCTATGGGCCGACGACCATTTAGACCCGGTTTGAAAAGGGCCCCCCCCCGGTAGCCCACCCTGTATAATGCCTGCCCGGTATTCAGGCTACTCCAGGCCGGTATAAGGCCTGTCTGCACATTGGCATTTCAAAGTCCCTGATGAAAGGCTTCCCCCACCATGCTTGCACAGATGAATAGGGGTCTAAGCGGATTAGTGTAAACGTTGTATAGAGCTGAAGGATTAAAAACCACAAGCAGGTTCCTTCTGGGATAGATTACATGTACCAATACTTGCAAAGAATAGACCCCAAGATGGAGAAGTTGGAGATCAGCAACCAGTCCGGTAGCCAGGCCGGTATGAAAGGGGTTTTTGCAACAGGGCGAGCTTACGGGTCTGAATGGTCGCCGGCCGTAAGCTACATATGCCTCATTTCACTTTACCTTCTCAGTTGTGTTCTGTACTCCTATACAGTGTATCCATCGAGATCTTGCCTGCCGTAACATCTTGCTCTCTGAAGACTACGTCTGCAAGGTGTCCGATTTTGGCCTGGCCCGCGAGGTTGCTGGTGATCATCAGTACGAGATGAAATCAAAGGTATTACTTTGATATTTACTGACTCCAAAAGGAGTGAATTGGAAGGTCGCTTTTGTTGCCTTGGCATTTTCCTGGAGTGCCTATCAGCTAGGTCTTAACTCGAGGATGACATCGAGGGGTCAGGAGGTTTTGAGGGTGTGCAACAGCTAGGGCTGTAAAATTATCCTCACTTCGGTCAATGTGACTGACCGTTCCTAAACCGGGATGAAGTGGGTGATCGTGGTGTTTAACGATACCAGGGTACCTCTCCCTCACTGTCAGGTCTCAGACATCAAAGGCACCCAATGAGACACTTTTATCAACAGAATATGGGTAATGAAGGTTGTTGAATATGCACAGTTCACGTTCATATTGATATCATTTAGCTTCTCACTCTTCGGCCTGGTTTTAAAGGGACAGTTCACACCATATGTTTTACTTTGTGTGAGCATGCTGATGTCATAATGTTCTAAACCTGATATGCAGGGCAGGGTACCAGTGAGGTGGCTTGCCCCAGAGAGCCTACTCCATAACCTGTACACATCACAGAGCGATGTCTGGTCATTTGGTGTTCTTATGTGGGAGTTGGTTACACTTGGTAAGTATTTTACCAATTTCTTATAAATACTTTAATATTTAGGACTTGAGTTGCAATATGACCAGAACCCCTATAGAGTACCGAAGTGTGATGTCTCTGTGAACTAGAAAGTGCAGTGCAAATGAATGGAGTATGCGCGCCTGTTGGATCACGCGCTGGTTCTCGTGCAAATGCCTTTTACACACTAATTGTGCGCGTGGCGTGTTCACTTCAGTACTCTATTAAAATGGGGATGAATATTCATCAGCTTTTAATACTATGTGTAATTATTTTGGTTTGAATTTCATCTGTTAGGAAATCTCAATATTCATAATTATTGGATAACTTGTATAATGTGCACAAATATTTCCCTTTTTTTAGTGGCATTTGCAATGTTATGTGAATGAATATTCATGGTTTTAGCTTCCAAGGACCTGCATTTAACTTTATAATACTGGTATTTCAATTAACCCTAACAGTCCAAAATCCTCCAATTTCAATATGATTTGACATACACCCCATGGGATTAGGGTTAGTTAATGTTTTTGACCTCAGATTTCCATATGATTTGTCATGCCAGAAAAATAGTTTATGAATATTCAAAAGTCTGCTTTATCTGGTTGATGTTTTTAAATGAGGACAAAAAATTATGAATATCCATAAATGCTTTGCTTAAATTTGCATTCCTCCTCAGGATCCCACCCCTACCCTGGAATGTCATCTCAGCAAGTCATAGCCAAAGTTCGGCAGGGCTATCGGCTCCCAAAACCAGAGCACTGCAGCCAAGACATGTAAGAAAAATCAAGATTTAGTGAATTTCCACTTTTGTTAAATATTTACATATATTTGGAAGTGAACCCCACCTCCCCTTACAAATTTTGTGGGAGGATCCTCAATTAATCCTTTAGCCTGATCAGTCTTCTGTATGTCATATATGTGGGTAAGTCATATATGTGGGTAATTCTGGAAATCAGGGGTCCACTTTCTTCGTGTCCCTGTCACATCTGATTTGTAAGTTCAGAACACATTTTCTAATGTCAAAGAGTGATGAATTAATGCAAATTACCTGCCAAACAAATAGTGATAGTTTGAAATCAATGCCAGTGATATTTCCATGTCAAATAACAAAGGTCAGATGTAACAGGGACACAAAAATGTCACACTTTGGACCCTGTATTTCCGAAATTACCTACGTCTTTTCAGTCTTTAACCCTAACCTTCCCCACCCACACAAAATTAAACAGTAGTAGAGTGTTTAATTCTGTGGGGATAGGTCTGGTAGGCCCATAACAGATGGCTTTTGCATTGGGTTTGGCATACCTCAGAAAAACCAACTCCATCAGCCTCTGTGCACAAAGTCCTGTATGGGTGTTTAACTTTGTGTGAATGGGGAAGGTTAGGGCCAGCAACCCTTGGGGGTTAGGGTATAAGAACTCAGGTCCATATGTACGAAAGACAAACTTCACGAAACGGCATAGTAGTTACATGCAACCGCTTGAGTGCCAGCTTGCCTGCTGCAGCTAACCATGTTTGCATACAAAGTAGAGCAAAACTCCAAATGGCACAATGTATGCACGGTTTGAAGATACCAAGTACCTGAATGTCCACTTGCACATGCATTCATGGAGTCCGCATTAATGTGTCAGCCTTTAATCCCTATGTAACGTAATTACTACAACAGTTACGGTACCACCTGTCATGCATTTATGCTCAGAGTACATGTGTGTGCATGTATGTATTAATTTTAACCTGCATTCAATTTTCTCTGCATTTTTTCTGTCAGCTACGAGATGATGGCCAGTTGCTGGACGGAAGATCCTGAGAAGAGGCCGACCTTTCAGAGGTTGCGTTTTAACTTTGAGACCATGCTGAGCGATGCCCAGGTATGTAAAACCAAGAAGGCCTGATTGTACCCTCTACTATAAATGCTGACAGGAGCTGTCTGACAGTAACTATAAAAAAGTCAAGTTTGTTTAATTAACTTGGATGGAGCAACTATGGTCATACGAATTCCTATTGGCCAACTTGGCGTACAGCAGATAACTTTGGAGGGCATTAAATTTGGTTGGGGTTAATTATTTCTCCAAATCTATGGTTAGCCACTTCAACTAGCGCCCTCTTTGTGTCCGCAATGCTTCAAAAGAGGCTTTGCACAATAGCCATCACACAGGATAGTTCTGTTGTTCCACCGGGAAACTTCCATTGTGCACTGACCTGCAAGATGGCAAGCTGTGCAAACCCTCTGTTGATGTTTGCTTTCACCTTGACTAAAAAGCAGCCTTCAGTAATCTACAGTCAGAAAAATTCTCTTTCCTTTTCTTTTCCGTGTTAAGTAATTTTTATATTGTGCTTCAAACAGTAGTGGAGTTGCAAGAAAACATGTAGCATTGATACTGACATCTTTACGTGCCGTCCAGGGAACTGCAGCAGTGTCTCTCGGCGGGTGTATCCAGGTCTTTGTGATCCCAGGTCCTCTATGGAGTTGCCATGGTTTATTATTTGAACCAGTAGAGTTCAAAATCATGTCAGACAGATGGATGGCACATGCGTGCTTGGAGTTGATCATGGGTGTAAAATACATCTAATAAGAGGATGTATATTTGGAGTAATTTGGGTGTCATTTGTTCAAAAGTTCAGAGTTCACTTCCTGTTTGAACCAGGGCGCACCATGCTCGTGCATCCTGTAAGCAGAGTTCAGTCATGTCCATGCTGTTTGATTTTAGCTAGCCTGTCTATTAACATTTATGTTTATGCAGGGTTATCTACGGATGGATGGCTTCCGTGAGGATGAGTATGTCTACATCTCGCCTGGGCAGGTGTCAGATGAGGAGACGGTGCTTTGACTGACATGAAAAGCCAGCAAAACATGGGACAGACTTTGGTTCATCTCTCAAGTGGAAGGCTGCAATTTTTTTCAGGATATTCCCTGGACTTCAGGCAAATGTCAGGATATTTCATTCAGAAGTTGTGGATATTGACAAGTTTGACGATTCAGATTTTATTTGTAGCACTTTGTGGATAAAACACCAAATGGTAATTTCTCAGCTATTTAAGAAGACAGCTTGTGCAAATAAATAGCCCAGAAAGGTCACACTACAATGCTGGCATTGTTGCAACTGTTTCTTAGATTTGTCGTGCATTTCCCACTATCTGCCAATCGCACCCCGACAAGTGCCAGTTTTAGAATGCAGGAGCTTGGATTTTGTAATTCAGCTTGTAGTGCCCCGACTACAAGTCTGTAAAATTTGGAAATTTCAGCCTGCGTATTCATAAGTGCCTTTTTATAAATAGACTGCTATGTTTTTATGTTGTACAGGTCATAAGCTGTTTCCCAAAATTCATCTGAAAAGCTTCTTTTGTAGAGAAGAAACTCAAGTGGCATTGCATTTGTTATTTTTGCTGTTAATTAAGAGAACACCTTTTTCGTTTTAGCTCATTTGACTTTTTACGTATTCCTTGCATTTCAAGGACACTTTCTTTTTGTAATTCGGTACATTTAAAATTAAAGAAATGTTTCAACAGATACAATATTTTGGTACAGTGCGTATTGAGCAAAGATACTTTTACATGTGTTTCAGACAAGCTGTATCAAATAACTGTGTTTGTACCTAAACAGTATTGCTTTTTGTAACTGCGGCAAAGTTCAATATGGGAGTCTGAAATGAATCATGCAGTGCAACTAGTCTGTTTAGAATCCCTTTTTCTATCTCGTTTGTTGCCACTCTGCCATTTTATTGTTCCCTTGTTGTCCTTTTGCATTTATTCAGTTGGAAAACAGATGAGCCAGCAGAGTACATCGAGAATGTCATGTGGAACCAATTTTCCAAATTGGCTATATTTTTGTTAGTTCTTTCTGTGTGTGTACTTTTGAGTAATGGGACGCGAGTGGTGAGGTTTTTGTTTTGTATTTTTTCGTACATCATGTGTGTGCAAGTACTTGAAAATGTAATGTATTTGACTTGTAAAACCAGTTCTATTTTTATAGCACGATTTACAATTTTATATTATGTCTTTCAGAATATATTTGCATATCAAAAGTGTGTTTAATAATTGCTCAGTTTATCATTTCTTTCAGATATAACTTTGGGCATTTAAATAATACCGTCTTTCCTGTCTTTCAGATTATAAATTTTGGTGTCTTAGAAGCTCATTTTGTATATTACATTTTTTCTAGTATTCATATTATACAATATTCTTATAAGTGTTGGTTTTTTGTGGACTAAGGGGTTATTTTTCAAATTTGATAGTTTTTTAACATTTTCAAGTCTTTGTGGAGATAATAACTTTGATGCTGCATTTTTAGGATCTCAAGTTTTGACAGTTGCATATCTTCCAGTTGTTAAGAATTAGAACAGGAAACATTCCGTCATGTTTGGCAAACTGATTTATTGATCATTTATACACAAATCAATTTACAGGTAAATGAGGTATAAAAGGCCCCATACCCCTATTAACTTCCTTATTAGTGTTAAATTGTTCCTAGGGTTGTTGACAGGTGGTCGGGCATACATGTTGACAGGTGGTCGGGCATACATGTGACAGGTGGTCGGGCATACATGTGATTGGTGGATAAGGGCTGTCAGTTTGTCATGCTGTACTATCAGTCAATTCTTGATAAAAATCACGAACTTTACGTTCTGCTTTTCAAAACAGTCTTCCGCAGATTTGCTGATTGACGATTTACTAATTGTGGCAAACCCCAGAAACAATGGATAGTACAGCGTGATCAAATGACTGTGCACATCCACCAATGACTCTGCCCAAGGGAAGCATTTATTGCTGGTAAAAATGGCAAATAAAAATACAGGTTGTTCAAAGAGTTCTTTCTTTGTGATTTGTATGTTAAAAAGAAAAACGCGAGGAAGCATTTTTCCTTCTCGGGCATTTCTAAGGTGTTCCGATACCTCCTGATTTAAACCAAGCACTGCCTCTGTAACCAAGAACTTCACAAAGCCAGTCTGCTCCAGTCCCATCGCCTTATCAGACAGGTGTTTCCATCCAATTTTCCTTGCCGTGAAATGACCCTGAATGTATTCCAGCTCCTCTGGATCGGGTGCCGGTACCCATTACAATTACTCCTTTGGTAGAGGGAGGCAAGGGGGCTGAAGTGGCTAGGAGCAGCTGCTGTTGACCTTCTGGGCCTAATTTAATGGTGCTGCTAAATACACAATTTGAGGCCTGCAGGGGCTTCACGTACATTATGTCATGGAATTTAGTAAGTACCAAAGATCGTATAGTGCCGTGTAGCAGCGCAAGATGGCGAATTCCACCGTGAATACACGTAAAACGTAATCGCATGGGTGCCATTTGAGCAAGCAATATGCCTGCGCAATGCACATTAATGCACAGGCGCCCAAGTATGACTGTAAACTACGCAGGCGTATCGCTTGCTCAAATGGCGCCCATGGTAATTACACCTTTTGGGCAGAGTTATCCATCTTGCGCCTTTGGCGCTATACTATCTTTGGTAAGTACAGCAAATGATTGCTAACCTGGGAAGAAAGATATGCTTTTACTTACTGCTGTAACAATGGAAATCTCTGTGCGTGCGGCAAAGTTAACACAACTTCACCCAGCCCTGCGATGAAATAGTGCTTAAGATTAGCAAAGTTTTCTGCTATAGC